GATAAGGATAAGGATAAGGATAAGGATAAGGATAAGGATAAGGATAATCCAAAGAGATTCTACAAGTACATTAACAGCAAGAGAGCAACTGGAGGGAGAGTTGGGCCCCTTAAAGATCAAAGAGGTCATCTTTGCGTTGAACCTCAGGAGATGGGAGACATATTAAATGAATATTTCACATCAGTTTTTACTGTGGAGAAAGAAATGGAGGCTCGAGAACTCAGGGAAATAAATATTAATGTTCTGAAAATAGTTCACATTACAGAAGAGGAAGTGCCAGAGGTCTTAGAAAATATAAAGGTGGATAAATCTCAGGGACCTGACCTGAGGAAATTGCAGGGCCCCTTCCAGAAATATTTGTATCATCTATAACTGTGGGTGAGGTGCCAGATGACTGGAGAGTGGCTAATGTTGTGTTTTTGTTTAAGAAGGGGTGTAAGGAGAAGCTTCGGGACTATGGACCAGTGAGTCTGACTTTGGTGGCGGGTAATTTGTTGGAAGGAATTCTGAAAGATAGGATTTATATGCATTGGAGGGGCAAGGAATGATTAGGGATAGTTAGCATGGTTTTGTATGAGGGAAACAGTGTCTCACAAAATGATTGAATTCTTTGAGGAAATAATCCACAAGATTGAGGAGGCCAGAGCGGGAGACATTGTTTACCTGGACTTCAGTAAAGCGTCAACAAGGTTCCCCATTGTAGACTAATTAGTAAAGTTAGATCACATGGGATTCAGGGTGAGCTTACCAATTGGATACAAAATTGGCCTAATGGCAGGAGACAGTTTTTTAAAAAATTCATTCACGGGATGAGGGTGTCGCTGGCCAGGCGGCATTTATATTGCCCATCCCGAATTGCCCAGAGAGCAGTTGACAGTCAACCACATTGCTGTGGTTCTGGAGTCACACGCAGGCCAGACCAGGCAAGGACAGCAGTTTCCTTCCCTAAACGTCATTGGTGAACCAGGTGGGTTTTTCTGACAATAGTTTATGGGCATCATTAGGTTCTTAATTCCGGACTTTTTTTTTTAGTTGAATTCAATGGTGGAATTCGAACCCAGGTCACCTGAACATTTTCTGGGTCTCTAAATTAACAGTCCAACAATAATACCATTAGGCCATCGCCTCCCCTTGCAATGTGATGGTGGGGGGTTGTATTTTGGACTGGACGCCTGTAACCAGCGGTGTTCCACAGGGATCAGTGCTGGGTTCACTTTTGTTTCTCATTTGTATAAATGATTTAGCTGAGAATATAGAAGGCATGGTTAGTAAGTTTGTGGATACACCAAAATTGGTGGTATAGTGGACAATGAAGAAGTTATCTAAGATTACAAAGAGATATTGATCAATGGGCTGAAGAGCCATAGATTGGGTTTAATTTGGATAAATGTGAGGTATTGCATTTTGGTAAACAAGTGCATGACTTATACAATTAAAAGTTGGGTCGTGGGTAGCACTGTATAACACCCAGGGGTTCAGGTATATAATTCTTTTGAGGTTTGTGTCATATTTGGAGCAAGCTTGCTTTCATTGCTCAGCCCTTTGAGCTTAGGAGTTGGGATATTATGTTAAAAGTTATATGGGATGTTGGTGAGGCCTCTTCTGGTCCAGTTCTGGTCACCCTGTTATAGAAAGGATATTATTAAAAGCTGGACAGGGTTCAAAAGAAATTTACCAGGATGTTGCTGGGTATGGAGGGTTTGAGTTACAAGGAGAGGCTGGGACTTTTTTCACTGGAGCGTAGGAGTTTAAGGGGTGACCTTATAGAAGTTCATAAAATCATGATGGGAATAGATAAGGCGAAATGGCAGGTGTCTTTTCCCTAGGGTGGGGGGGTTTCAAAACTAAGGGGCGTATGTTTAAGGTTAAAGGAGAAAGATTTAAAAAAGACATGATGGACAAATTTTTTTCAACACAGATAGTGGTTCGTTTGTGGAATGAACTTCCAGAGGAAGTCGTGGATGGAGGTACAGTTACAATATTTAAAAGACATTTAGGTAAGTACATGAATAAGAAATATTTGGAGGGACAAGGCCAAGCGCAGGCAGGTGGGACTAGTTTAGTCTGGGATTATGTTTGGCATGGGCTGGTTGGACTGAAAAGGTCTGTTTCCGTGCTGTATGACTCTAAGTGAACATTGAATAAAGCATCTAATATCATATTTTGCTTTGTAAAATGCCTTGGGATGTTTTATATTAAAGGCTACATAAATACAGGTTAGTGGTGTCATATACTGTTCCAAATGAATGATGCTCAAATACAAAATGCTGAGATCTGCATGGTCCAATGCATGACTTACCTACCCTGTGCTATTTTCTGAAAGCACTACATTTTACGTCTAACGTAAACATGACAGCTTTTTGAATTATTAAAACGAAGCATTACTACTTCTAGACTTATAGTCCGGGAAACAATTGGGATAGTTACAAAGAAAGCAAAGTCTCATAAGCAATGGTACTCGGAAACTCTAGGCTATAAGCCCACAAAGTACTGAAGTGACATTGCTTTTTATATGAAGACAAACACACGGATACTTTTGAATTTAATTATTTTCTGGACAAATAACTTCGGAATCCTTATGAAGACTACAGGTAACTGATTAAATGTTAGTATATTATTTTAAAATTTGTGTGACCGGTTTGTTGGACATTTCTAGGGAGCACAGGCGAGAAGTAATAATTGATTAATCATTGAAAAATAAAGGTTACGCAATAACAAAATTGCTACTGCTTTCAAGGGCTACTAAACTTAGTATCTCAGTCAACAAGAATTTTAAATGAACTATCATTACATACACTGAGGCATTGTTTAGTAACACTTCCAATTTACAAGGCAACTGTAGCTTATCTTTTCAAAATATTATTATTTCAGATTTGTTTAGTTCATGATCTCTGTACACTTCTGCCATAATACTGCGTATTATTGCGCATAGTGCATGTCACAAAAATGCAGAGAATTTTACCTCTGATTAACATTCTCACTGAGTTGATGAACAAGAAAATCAGTATTTTGGATAAATACTCTAAAACAGGAAGTCTCACTTTATGCGTGCTTACTTGCATCTCATCTGAAACAGAAATCACATTTTCATTTTGTTCATTTAAGAAATTGGAAAATATTGCTTAAAAAAATAAAATTCTTGCTAGATCTGCCTTGATCCTAGAAAAGTCAGTGCCAAAACTCAAGTGCCAAAATTACAAAGTTAAAACAGCAAATGCATTGAAATTTTTCAACACTGATCCAAGAGGTGAAAATATTTGCATTCCCAGTAATTTAGAAAAAAGACATTGTTTCCTTAAGAATGATACTGTTGTCAGAGGTGAAGTTTCATAATCATAAGGATACAGTAACATTATGGTAAAGTTACTGGCCTAGCAATCCAGAGGCCTGGACTAATGCTCAAGGGACAGGAGTTCAAATTTCACCACAGCAAATGGAGAAATTTAAATTTAAATAGTAAGCAAATATGGACAAAAAATAATAACTTACCGGATTGTTATGAAAGCATACCTGCTTCCCTGATGTTCTTCAGGAGCGAGATTTAATGCCTTGAAATGGTCTTGCTTATACCTGACTCGAGCACACCGATATGGCGGACCCTTAAATGCTTTTTGAAATGGCCTAGAAAGCCATTTACTTTCGTATTCAACTACTGCAGTTCTACCTATTACAAAGCCTATAGAGGTTCATGAAGGCAGCTCATGATCAATTGGGGATCAGCAGAAATGCTGGCCTTGCCCAGTGATGTTCACATCACAAGTCAAATTTTAGATAAAATGTATGCCAGAGTGAAAAAGAGTTACCACATCAATTTCAAAGCAGTACACTCTTGCTTGTCCCCATGTCAGCTCTACTAAGATGCTCTTCAGAAAGAAATTCTGACCTCAGCTGAGAAATTACAGACAAAAGTGAGCATTTTAGCACTCAATGGCACAAGGTCAGGTGCTCTGTTGGGCTCAGATCAGATTTTATGATATCCTATATGCATTAACAATGAATATTCAAATTCAAAATGAGTAACTTAAATCATCTCAAAGTCAGAACAATCTCACGTGAAGTGTTCATGTAAATTAAATTTATATCTGTTTCAAAGCAAAATATTGAACAACAGCAAGATTCAGCAATTCCTACCTATAATAGTCTTCTTGCCCAGGAAGTGGACCTCCGTGCATATGGTGATGGCCGTGTAGCCACTGCTGTTCCATTGCTAGTCTCTGTAGTTCTGCTGACTGGGCGTGCATTGCCTGCAGTTGGTGTGCTGCTGACATCGGAGCTGGGATAGCACCAGGCAGGTCTCTATACGGTCCACCTGTAAGCAAGATGGAAGAGAGATCACTTGGCTTTGCTTCTACAGGTTGTAAAATATTACATGCTAAAAGCACAGGTTCAACAAAAAAAAAAACAAACAAACTTGTACCACCTGGTCAAAGTCTAAATTAATTTTAAAAAATTGCTCATGTGATGTGGGCATCATTGTCCATCCTTAATTGTCCTTGAGAAGACAGTGGTGAGCTTTGTTATTGAACCACTACAGTGCGGCATTATAGGTACGCCTCTGGTGCTGTTAGGAAGAGAAGTCTAGGATACTGACCCAGCTACAGTGAAGGAACGGCATTATAATTCCATGATGTACAAGTGTCGGTGTTGGATTGGGGTGGACAAGGTCAGAAATCACAACACCAGGTTATGGTACAGAGATAACAAGGTGTAGAGCTGCATGAACACAGCAGGCCAGGCAGCATCAGAGGAGCAGGAAAGCCAACGTTTCGGGTCTGGACCCTTCTTCAGAAATCCAGGTTATGGTCTAATGGGTTTATTATGAAAACACAAGCTTTCGGAGCCTCACTCCTCCTTTAGGTGTTAGTGAGAGAGGTCGTATAGACACAGAATTTGAGAGTAAAAGATTAAAGGGTCACACCACTGATCAGGATGTATTAAACAAACCTGTGATGCTGTTAATTCCAAGTCAGGATGGTGTGTGGCTTGGAGGACAACTTGCATGGGACCACCACCAACACCACCTGCATCTGTAGCTCTTTTTCCTTACTCTGTGTCATAGAGGTCACAGGATTTGAAGATGCTATCTAAGGAGCCTGGTTGAGTTGCTGCAGTGCATTTTATGGTTGGCGCACACTGCTACAACTGTGTGTCCATGGTGAAGGGAGTGAACGCTCAAAGTGGTGGATGGGGTGCCAATCAAGTGGAATACATTGTCTTGGATACTGTTGAGCTTCTCAAGTGTTGTTGAAGCTTTATTTATCCAGGCAAATGGAACAGATTTACACATTTCTGACTTTTCGATGGTAAACAGGCAGAGGGTGCCATGAAGTGAGTTACTTGTTGCAGAATTTGTAGCCTCTGATCTTTCATTTCCAACAGAGAGCCTTTAGGCTCAAAATCTTAACTGTTTTTCTCTCCACCAATGTTGCCAGACCTGCCGAGTCTCTCCAACATTTTCTGTTTTTACCTCTGACCCGCACTTGTTGCCACAGTATTTATATGGCTAGTCCAGTTCAGTTTCTAGTCAATAGAAACACTCAGGATTTGGGAGGAAGGAGTGGAATTCAATGATGATGATGATGCCATTAGCATCAAAGGGTGAAGTTTCCATTCAATCTGGTTAGAAATGATTATTGCCTGCCATTTGTGTGGCACACGTTGCATGTCTCCTATCAGCCCAAGCCTTCACGTTGTCCTGGTCTAGCTGCATATGATCAGTGATTACTTTAGTATCTGAGCAGTCACAAATGATCCTGAACACTGGCATTATCAGCAAATGTCTGCAATTCTGGCCTTATGATGGAGAAGCTGAAGCTTAAGGCTCTGGTGGTGCTGTTCCATTGTTGCTACCTCTGGACCTGGAAGCCTGGGTTCAAGTGTTGCCTGCTCCAGAGGTGTGAAATAACATCTCTGAATAGAATGATTAGAAAGAAATCTACCTTAAGGAACTCCTGTAGTGACAACCTGGGGTTGAGATGATCTGACTTACAACAATCACAACTATCTTGCTTTGTATCACTTCAGCCAGTAGGGAGCTTCACCCCGATCCCCAGTGACTCCAGTTTTGCAAGATATCCTAGAAGCCAAACACAGTCAAACGCTACTTTGACTATCATCTTACCTCTGGAGTTCAGTTTTTGTTGTTGTTGTTGTTGTTGTTGTTGTTTGGACCAAGGCTGGACTGTAGTGAGGTCAGGTGCCAAGCAGGTGCCAAACTGAGCGTCAGCAAGCAGGTTATTTCTGAGCAAGTGTTGCTTCGGGCACTATCAACATGCCGTTCCACTACTTTGCTAATGATCAAGAGCCAACCGATAGGACAGTAATTATCCCAGTCGGAGTTGTTCTGCTTATGTGAACAGAACATACCAGGCTATGAGATCAGGGAGTGTGACAGGACAAACCCAGCAAAAATGATGGAGGAGTGTAGGACATTGTAAGATACGAGTCTTCGAGCACAACTAGGCCCAGGTGTTGCATAATGTGTCTATGGGGCAGCTATCTCAATTTGGGACAAATTGCCAGATGTTATTAAGGAGGACTTTGCAGTGTCGACAGGGCTGGTTGTACCATTGCTGCTTCCAGACCCTCGTGAATGATGGGTTGTCTTCCCTTTTTCATTCCTTCTCGTGGACCTCATTGCAGTTGCATAGAACGGAGTGGCTTGTGGGGCCAGTTCAGAAGGTGTGTTTAACTGTCCACCACAATGCAATGGATCGGGAATCACATGTAGGCCAGACCAGGTAAGGACAACAGATCTCCCTCCTTGAAGGACATTAGTGAAGAAAATGGCTTTTTAACAACAAAGGACAAAGACTGTGTGGTCACCTTTAGACTAGGCTTCTAATTTCAGGATTATTAACTGAATTCAAATTTCAACATCTCCCGTGGAGGGATTTGAACCCGTGTCCTTAGAGCATGAAAATAAAACAAAGAACTGCAAATGCTGAAGACCTGAAACAAAAACAGAAATTGTTAGAGAAACTTAGCAGGTCTGGCAGTATCACATCTGTAGAGAGAAAGCAGAGTTAACATTTCTGTTCTGAAAGTGGCTCACCAGGTTTGAAACGTTAACTGCTTTCTCTCTACTGATTTTGCCAAACCTACTACGTTCCTCCAGCAATTTCTGGTTTTCCCCCTACAGCATTAGCTGGGATCTCTGGATTATTGGTTGTGATAAAATTAACGTATTTTAATTAACTGTAATTTAAACAATCTATCACTGAGATACAAGTATAACCTCACAAAATATTAACATGGAATGACTTGCGGGAATTAATTACTTTGCATATGTGAATTTTCTTACCAAAAACAGGATGATGCCTGAGCATTTCATGTTCATGTGGAGCCTGGGTCAAAAGTGGGTTGGGTATTGCACCTGGCGGGTATGGAAAACGAGCCAAATGTGGCCCAGCTGCTAGAGGATCCACCAATGGATGCACACCTCCTGAACCTAATTTTAAGGAAAAAGAAAAATCTTTTGAAACTACAGGGCACAAAAAATAACTCATAGACAACAGGAAAAGTAACTGCATTGTTTGTATCTTCTAGCTAAGTGCAACAAGCTATAAGCATTGAGAATGAGGTTTTAAATATAATAACTAATACCACCTTCTTCTCCAGCCCGAGGATGAACCGGGCTATTTGTAAGCTTGGCATCCTATTATCAGCAGTCTTGGTGACTTCCACTGCTATATCGTTGCTGCTTTCTGACAAACATTGGGCTCCTCTGCTGAACCCCTTGTACACATTAACACAACCTTTAGACATATAATAACTCCTTTGTTAATCTTCATCGTCTCCCCACACATCCACCCTTACATGACACAAGCTTGAAATTATCTATTCTAGATTTCTGGATCAATATAAGCTCTCCAATCCCAAGTGCTTAAAGTCCTTGGGTTTGTTCTTGGTCCTTGTTGCAAGAACCAACTTTGTGAGCAAAGCTCTCTGTCCATTGGCCTGAAATTGGGTCATTTTTCAGGTATTCCCAAAACAAACTAAGTTTCCTTCAGTACGTAATTGAGAGAAATCATACGCATATAAAGGCCCTTTTAGAGCAGGGCAAGTGTCATGCCTTAAAAGTTTTCGAGAAGATTCGTAGCTCAGGTTGTGGACGAGGTTGTAGACTTGCTAGTTGAGCCAGTATGTTTGGTTGAAGACGTTTCGTCACCCTGCTAGGTAACATCGTCAGTGCGTCTCCAGTGAAGCATTGGTGTTCTGTCCTATTTGTTATTGATATGCTTCGGTTTGCTGGGGTGGTTAGTATTAGTTCTGGTTGGTATTATTTCTGGTTCCGTTTTTCAGTAGTTTGAATTTCAGGTCCAGTTCAATGTGTTTCTTGGAGGAGTTCTGGTTGGAATACCAGGCCTCTAAGAATTCTCTGATGTCTCTCTGTTTGGCTCGTGCTATTATGGATGTGTTGTCCCAGTCGAATTTGTGTCCTTCTTTGTCTGTGTGTATTTGAGACCAGTGAGAATTGGTTGCGACAATAGAGATATCTCAGAGATGACCACAAGACTACTCAGACCCCTAGGTATCAGGGTAGCCCACAAACCAACAACCATCCTGTGACAGCTACTGACAAACGTAAAAGATCCCATATCAACAACCAATAAAACTAACATAATATACAAAATACCATGCAAGGACTGTGAGAAGCACTACATAGGCCAAACTGGAAGGAAACTGACAATAAGGATACACAAACACCAACTAACCAAGAGACATGATCAATTCTCACTGGTTTCAAACACACACAGACAAAGGAGGACACAAATTTGACTGGGACGACACATCCATAATAGCACGAGCCAAACAGAGAACGCCAGGGAATTCCTGGAGGCCTGGCATTTCAACCGGGACTCCATCAAGAAACACATTGAACTGGACCTAATATACAAACCAGAACCGGAAGTGATGCCAACCACCCCAGCAAACTGAGGCATACGAACAACAAGTGGGACAGAAAACCAATGCTTCACCGGAGGCGCACTGACGATGTCATGCCTTCTCCAGTCAGTATTCTTCAGTGCCCCCGAGACCTTGCATCAGGACCAACTAAAGTTGCACTCTTCATAAACAAGGTTCTAAACACCCTCCTGTGGAGCCAAGAGGAGCAGAGACAGTCCTCCTGTTCCATGGCATACATGCCAACTGCTGTCGAACATGACTGGCACAGAGTCCCAGCTAAACAACCTCCTCCCCTGCTAAACAGTGCTTACCCCAAGACCATCGCCAGTAAAGCAGACAAAGTATGCTGAAATTTGACACTACAAAATGGCTAGGTGTTTGACTTTAAACACTATTAAATGAGCAGATTCTATTTGCTCACTATCATCCTTTTGCAGTCTGATCTAATGTCTCAGATAATGCAAAACAAAAGCTCATTCTTTCATTCACCACTACATCAGACCCTGACATCCCATCTCAGGAGCAAGGTGGGCTCATCTTGAGTGTGCACAGACACCAGCATAACCATGTTATTTTGTAAAACACAACGCTGAAAATGTCATCAATTTATCTATTAGTTGTCAGCTCAGCAATTTAGGGCTACAGGAAAGAGAGAGAGAGAGGTTAAAAATGAAAATAAGAAGTTAGTTCAGTGGATTTCTGAAGGAAGAACATCTTTTAACAAATGGAAAGAAAATACAAGAATGAAAAGATCTATGGGTTATGTAGATTCCCTGAAAATCTCCAAAGGCTAGTTAAATGTTTTTCTTGGAACGGTTGCTTTTTTTTAAAAATGTGCCTACGTATGTTCAGGTACATCCCTCAAGCAGCCATTCCAGTTTTTTCTTATTCATTCACAGGATGAGGACGTCGTTGGCCAGGCCAGCATCTATTATCCATTCCTAATTGCTCAGGGGGCAGTTAAGAGTCAACCACATTGCTGTGGGTCTGGAATCACATATAGGCCGGGCCAGGTAAGGATGACAGTTTCCTTCCCCAAGGGGAATTAGTGAACTAGATAGGTTTTTCTGAAATGAACAATGGATTCATGGCCATCACTAGACTCTTAATTGCATTTTTTTTTTAAATTGAATTCAAATTCCACCATCTGCCGTGGTGTGATTCGAACCCAGGTCCCCAGAACATTATCTGGGTCTCTGGATTGACAGTCCAGCAACAATACCACTAGGCCATCGCCTCCCCTTATGATGTTATGATCGCATATTTTAAACATGGAGTATTAAAAACTTTCCTGCAGTTGCCCATGGGGTTAGATCATACAATTTTTAAATAAGCAATCGTAATGCTCAAGAAATGCTTCATTATGTCTGGCTATGAGCAATGCAGTTTTCACTGTGATTTTTCCAAATTCTCCATCTGGTAAAACGGAATCCATGGTAGTGGTCTCACCAATGTAAGATAATTGGATTCTCTTAGGCGTCTCCTTTGACAAGGACTGTGTCAAATTAGCTGCTGTTTTCCCTATAACATTGAACACACTTCAATAGTATTGGTTAAAAAGTGCTGAGACGCCATGGTGCCATGACGGATGTTATACAAAGCCAACTTCCTGCTTTTTGCATGCAAACATTGGAGACTGATGACTTTAACTTTGTTTTATTCCATCCACATATTGCAGAGTGTGCTGTCCTTTCTGGGAATATTGGGTACCTTGGAGCAGCAGCCACTGAAGGTAGATGATTTAATTGATTCCTTATGGAGGAGTAAGAGTGCCGCCAAGGGCCCAATGGAGAAATCTCTGGCCTTCGCCCACTTTCCTGACAATGATTACAACCAGTGCTACAACTGAGCCTATTCTTTCCTTCCTAGAATTGGGCATCGGTAGGAAGGCTAGAATTTATTGTCCATTTCCAACTAGATAGTGGAGAGTTGACTTCTTAAACTGCTGCAGTCTGTGTGAAGGCACTCCTTCCTGCTATCACGGGAGTGCATGCGTGTATGCATGTGAGAGCACGAGAGAGCACGCATGTGTTTTGAGGGGGGTGGCTGAAATTTTGATCCAACCACGATGATAAAGGAACACTGATTTATCTACAAATCAAGCTGCACTTACTGCTCTTGGCCTTCTAACATCATATTTCTCCATCTGGCAGTATAAATCAGATTCTCTTCTTTAAAGAACCAAATCAGTTGTGGAATAACTTGAGTAGAACTATAAATCTGGATTATCAAAAAATGCTATTGGTATTCAGTGTTTCAATTTTAACAATCCACAAATCAATTCTGCACAAGTAGAATCAATATTCCCTTATTTATCTAGGGATACAAATTATTTTATTAATCCAAAGCTACTGAAGTAATATCTATGATGTATTTTTGGGCTGAACGGCTTATTCTAAAAGAACAAGAATCATATTTTCCAGGTCAGTTTGGATGCAGCTGAACATTACACTCCAGGTGAGAAATGTTCAAATTTACTGCAAGGGTAAGGAGGTTAGTTTGCTAACTTCGTTTATCGGGGAATCAAAAAAGTTGATGGCTACTGACTTAGTCTACATGGTATAACATGGAGGATACTCAATAATGTAATGACATGAACAACTTCAATTTATGCAGTGTCTTTAACATAACAAAACTCTCAAGATACTTCGCAGGAGCGTTATGAAACATGACACAGACCACATTAGGTGACATTAAAGCAGATAACCAAAGACACATTCAAAGTGATGGGTTTAAATTGACAAAGACAGACACAGAGAGGTTGAGGGGAAGAATTCCAGAAATTTGGGTTTGGCAGGTGAAGGTGCAGTGACCAACAGTAGAGCAATTAAAATCTGAATGCTCAAGAGGTCAGAATTGGAGAAGCTCAGATATCTCTAGAGAGATTGTAGGCTGGAACAGAAGACGCAGATAGAGAGAGGCAAGACAATGGGGAGATTTGAAAACAAGGATGAGAATTTTAAAATCAAAGCTTTGCTTACCTGGACCTAATGGACAACAGCAAGTATAGGACTGACAGGTGAAAAGGATAATCTAAATTGCACAAGGTTTGGATGAACCCAAGTTTATAGATGTAGAAGAATATGGGAGCTGGCTAGTAATGTATTTGAAAAGAAATATCTAGAGGTGTTAACATAGTTAGCAGGGTTTCAGTAGCAGATAAACTGAATCATCTGGGATGAGTATATGAATAGGAAGGGTTTAGAGGGACACAGGCCAAATCCTGGCAAATGGGACTAGATTAATTTAGGATATCTGGTCGGCATGGAAGAATTGGACCAAAGGGTCCGTTTCCGTGCTGTACATCTCTCTGACTCTGTGAATCAAAAGCAGAGTTTGGCAATGTTATAGAGGTGGGATTAGGTGGTCTCACAAGCGGTATATACACATTACTCAACACTTATCTTGAAGCTGAATGTGACAAGACTGGATCTGTCTTCCTAACAGCACTGACACGGTGTCTATCCTTCATGGACTTCAACGGTTCAAAAAGGCAGCTCACCACCACCATCTTTGAGGGTCAATAGGGGCGTACAATAAATGGAATACCCACATCCCAAGAATGAAGTAAGTGCATTCCCACCCAGTTTGATGATAGAGATGCACTGCGGAAGGATGGTGCATTTAACAATCTCCAAAGCAGTAGATAAGTCAACAAGGATGAGGAGGGTTAGTTCACCTTTATCTACAGTTTGGTTCATAACTATCACAGTCAGAAAAAATGCTGCTTCAGTAAAGTTCTAATTTGGCCAGATATTCAGGTCAGCCAAGATCCACTTTTCAATTTAACCATCCACTTGAGGGATGAGTTTGCCAAGTCATCTACACGATCACTTTCAGGTTCAGTGACATCAGTGTTACTTTCCTTTATTCTTCAGAAAAATTACTTATTTCACAAAATCAGCCTTTTGAACAAAAGTCCCATAGAGGATAAATTAAAACAATTAAAAGATTTAACAATGAACCATGGCATGAAAGATCATGTAAAGATTCTTTTTCATTCACTTGTGGGATGTGGGCATTTATTGCCCATCCCTAGCTGCCCTTGAACGAAGTAGTTTGCTGGGTCATTTCAGAGGTCAGTTGACAGTTAACCACATTGCTGTGGGTCTGAAGTCACGTGGAGGCCACACGAGGTGAGGGCGGCTGACTTCCTTCCCTGAAGGACATTAGTGAGTCAGATAGGTCTCTCCGAAAATCAGGAATGGTTTCACAGTCATCAGTAATTCAAGATTTTTCTTAATATTGAATTCAAGTTCCATGGCAGGATTCGAACCTGGGTCGCCAGAACATTAGCTGAGCTTCTGGATTAATAGTTAATTAATAGTCTAGCAATAATACCACTAGGCCATTGCCTCCTCTCAATTAATCAATTAAAATCAATGCTTTGAGAGTACAAGGAGTGGAGATTGCTGCTGATAATGGAAAAGGCATCAACCTTTCATTATATTGGTCAAAGTGGCACAGCCCAGTAGCCTATCAAGAACCTCTGGTTTCAAAATCACACTGGCATTTTCTAAGCCTCAGACTGTTGTGCTTTGACACCTGGTATTCATTTGCCCATCTGTACTTGCATACAGAAGGGTTGCCAGCTGTAAAAACTGTCAAAGTAGCTGGAATTGTACTGGCAGGTAAGGAGATCATCTATATTCTCCAAAACAATCTGCTTTCTATCTCATTTTATGTTGCACAGCACTTTTAAAATGTGCAAATATCTGGGCATAATCTGGACTCCAAGCTCTTCCTCTAACATCAAAAATCTGAACTCAAATTGTAATACTGTTTCTTGCTATAGATGTAGGCATGGAGAGTTAATCTGTTAGGCATAAAAAAGAATGAGCACTTCACTGATATATCACTCTTCATGACCACAAAACATCGGAAAATATTTCATTGCACTAAACAATATAATTGTAGTAACTGCTGTCATGTAAGAATCCAAAATATCCAAATGGAGACAATTGCCTTGGTCTCACTTGAGGAGGGAACAGTTTTGGTAGCGACTTGCATTTGTATTACAGTTAATTAATTAACTGATTCAAAGAGATCCCTATCAGTCTCCTGGGTCCCTAGAGGTTGGGAAATTTGAATTAGCCAATTTAATTGCAACAAAATGATTGGGCCCAGGCCACTCTGTCAGAAATTTATTCAGTTGTATTCTATTTTCAGAGCTAATACTTGCACCAAGAGAAAATTAAACTCTATGATTGCCAAGATGTTTTCTCAAGAAAATAGGTTTGTTATAATTGTAAGTTTCCCAGTATTGGCTGACGTATCTTAATGAAATAAAATGCTTCCTCTTGTGGCCCTTTGCAAGTCTCACCAAGATTTCTTGTTAAAAAGGAAGCAATCATTTAATAAAATTTATTTCTTGGTTGTCCCGTTTTGTTGTAACTAACATACTTGAGTTAAAGAAAGTCAAACTGTATAATTTCTGGAAAGCTTCTCAGATCTCTTTCCTCCTAAATAATTAGAAAAAGATCAAAATTAAAATTAAGGAAATTGCTTAACTAACTTCACAGTCAGTTTAAAGTTTATGCTGGTTAACACAAACATATGTGAAAATACCCTGTTTGGAGTTTTAAACAAAAGTGCTCACTTAAATTAAAGCAACTGCAATTGTGCAGGTTCTTGATTGGAAAAGAAAAAGACTTGTATCAATATAGCAATTCTCCCAAACTGATTTACAACCAAATAAAGAATTTTTTTGAAGTGTAGTCAATGTTACAACATGAAAAACATGGCAGTCTATTTGCGCACAACAAACTCCCACAAAGATAAATGTGACGATGACCTGATAGCATGCTTATGTGATGCTGAGAGACATGGATACGTGATCATTGCTGATCATCCAGGACTGGACAGGATGTGAAATTTCTTCACTTACAGATTTGTGAATCCAAATAGTCTCTACCCTAGAAGTGGATGGATGCTCGATCATTGAATATTTAAGTCTGAGGCAGACCAATCTTTGATATCTTGAGGAATTAAGTGAACGGGAATGGTCAGTAAAGTCAAATTGAAGCCAAAGATCAGACATGAGTGAATTGAATGGCACAGCAGGTTCAACAAGTCATTTGATTTACTCGTGCTTCTACTTCTTATGCCTACTAAGTAGATATTTATTTACTGAAAAAGACAGACTAACAAAATGATGTGTAGCAAATCTACGAACCAACCTTTTGGTTAAGGAAAGCAGACTTGGGCTACAGGAAAACTTGATTAGTCTATCGCCACTATAATGAAATGGATTCCATGTTTATTTAAATCTATGGTAGACACAACTGACTAGCTCAACTGTGGAATGACACCAAAACCAGTGATTTACAATTTAGCAGGAAAGCACAGATAATTACCATCTGTGTGACTATTGATAAAAATGAGAAATTCTGTATTATAGTTTAGATTCTAGTTGATAAGAACATGAACTGCCTGGTTCAAGATTCAGAGTAACGTACATGAGATAAATCCACCTCATGTTTTTCTATTCAGTTTCTCAACGACAGAGTAAGGTCCAATAATGACGCATGTATTATATCTGCCTTCATCCGTTTGATTTTCTGGCAACCAAATGACCTGTCCTGTCCATGCTTGTAGCTCAATCAGCAAGATCCAAATTTCTGCACTGAATCCATGAAGTAAGTTCACATTTCATATTAGCCTGTGCAGTTCAGCAATTTTCACTGATAAATGGGACTGAAATAACAAGCTGATTTTCTAATGGTGTACTGAGACACTTACCTAAGTGTTGAATGTGCCTTCTTGAGATTTCCTCCTACGCCCTGCAACTGTGAGGCCTGAGCTAAGCAATTTCTGTAAGTGGGAGTCGAGAATGTGCATTCTCAACAAAGGCAAGTGCCTTCTTCCGCACTTACGTAAATTTATTAATCATCCCAATTTATTAAAAACAACCTTTTTTAATAAACAAAATTTTACAGCCATGATTTTTCTTAAAAATGACATTTACGTGCTAGAATCCAAGATGAAAAGGTAGCCAACGTGAGTTGCCAAGGAAACAAAATACTGAGTTTTAAAGCTAGACAGCTCAACGTTGAGCACTGAGGGTATGTTCTAAAATCAGGAAACTTATTCATGGCACATGTGAATGTGAACATTTCCAGTTCAAATATATTATGCCTGATGCCTTTCCATTTTATGAAAAATATATCTGCAAATTACAATCATTTCAGAATATTCAGATTCCCCTTATTTAACACAGTTTGCCTATTGTAAATACAACTAACTATCAGCCCTCACATGTAGTGTGTTCTCATTATTGTGTATTTTTAGTCAAGAAAGCAATGGATAAAATGAACAGCATTAGGTTGCAAAAATTATTGGTGTAAAGGAATTTCTCTATCAGTTCTGAACTTGCATGACCATGTGCAATGCTGAATCTTAACTATTTACACAATTTTAATTCAATCTGGCTACACGCCATTCTGTAAAACGTGCAAATAATCATTTGCACACAATTGGTAATGGAATGCTTTTCAACCTGACTCTAATAACTTGTACATTACGATATCACAATGACCACATTGCTTCACGCATAGAGAAAGCCACATTTATAACTCTTGCATTTGTGCGGTTCATACTTTGAGCTTTTAACATGAAATAGAAGGGCAATAATGCAAACTATATCGCATATCAGAGCCTTATTTTACAACACTAGGGTAGAGCATCTGCTTCATTATGCCAGTATTTCAGTGCAATCTGGGCAGAATTGGTCAAATCAGTGCAAAAGGTCACATCTATGTGTGAATGAGTTACATTTTGGAAATCTTCAACGGTTGGATCAAGACCTGCCCACAGAATGGGCCACATCCCAGGGCAACATTGCAAGATTCTGATGATTGTGTTGGTTACAGAAGGATCTCAAAGTTCCGTTAATTTTCATTCATGCACAGGGTGCTAGTGGGAACATTTAGAAATCTTTTAGTGTCAAAAGAACACTTCATTAACTAAAAAAGCCAACAAAATGAAAGTATCAAATAGTTTAATAGTTCTATAAAGTAATTTTGAGTAATTTTAAATCATCACAGATGGAGGACTGGACTAAAATGCTTATTTTTGTCGATAACCCTATTTTCAACTGTATTCATTAAAGTTGATCAGGTTACCATACTACACATAGAAGGAAAGCATGCCATTTTATTGCATTGTATGATATCAGTGGTTTGCGGCAGACTTTTCATTTGTGGTGTGCAAATTATTGTAGCAGGTACCTGATTCATACCATCATCTCTGAGCAACTTTAAGCGCATACTTAACTCTAAAGCTGAAACTCTATCTCCCTGTATTTAAGATTCATAGTATCATTAAGCTAGTGAATTACATTTATTCTTCACTGATGAGGTAACCATAAAATTGTTGCACTGATGTGCTATCAGACACATTCAAGATATATTCTTTCACCATTGCTGTATCATATTTCCAAATATTTCAGCATGCAGATAAATACATGAGCAAGATGACATAATGGCTAAAAACTCTTCTGGCTGTTAATGCTCAGACTTGAGTCAACTCACCTTGATGTAATGGATCTTGCTGATGTAGGTGTAAGTGCGAATGTATGTGTGAATGCTGGTGATGATGTGGCGTCACATTGAACATCTGCAGTCTTGTAAGTGGGTCATTTGCAAGAGATGCCATGCGTTCAGCATGTATTCTTTCTGCTGCCAGTCTATCAGCGTAAGACATTTCAGGCCGCAACTGAGGGCCTGCAAGTGCAAGTCTTTCCCTTTCTAGAGGATTCAATCCATGGTGGAAAGGAGGGAATGGATGAGCTCCAGCTGTTGGTTGGATTGTTAATGCACCATGTCTAGCAAATGGATCCATAGGATTAGCAGCTGGGTGCAGTCCGTCCAGTTCAGGTGGCTTAACCTCAAAGCCTGGCTTCATCCTTTCACGGAACTCCCTTTCACGAATCTCTCTCTCCCGAATCTCTCTTTCACGTAGCTCGCGTTCTCTCATTGCAGGGTCAGCGCTGTAGAGGCTTGGCATATGGTAAGCTAGGATTGGATCAGAGGCATTTAATGGAACAAAGAATGGATGGTTACGATTGGTTGGAGACATGACATGTGGTCTTGCATATTCACTGAGAGTCCGTAGTGCTGGAGTGTCTGGTCCAATGTATGGAGGGACAGCTGCAATGGTAGTGGGCGGTGGTTCAAATGAAGGCCTTAAATGAGCTGGCCCAACGAGTTGAGATTCTGCCATGCGTCCCTCATGGGAGGAGCTTGAAGCTTTCTGCAAAAAGAACAGGAACAAATTATAACATGGGGGTTATAAGAAAATTGCAATCCTGAGAATCTGAAATGAAAACAAAGTGTGCTGGAAATATACAGCTGGTCAGTCAGTGCAATCTGCTCCAATGGTTTTCCGGTTATTTATACTATTAACTCCCTTTCTGTGCCAGACCTACCTGTTGATTTGTTTTCTCTTGCATATTCTTTAATTTTTCTTTTGCTTATTCATGCAGGTTTAAAATTCACGGTTTTACAACATTGACCACTTCTAATTAATTGCCAATATTGGGCTTATTATTTTGGATGATAGAGATCAGAGAGTAATTGATGATATTCTTTATTATTTCTAGACTGACTTCATTAGCTTAAAAGCCAGCTGTACACATAAAACAGATCTCTGGCAATCAGTTTGGAACTTTTTAAAGAATACATCTTCAATATATTGTAATGAGAAGAACAACTGTACTGCAGGAGGATTATTGCATATAATCTTTTTCAGCCTATGTTTTTAGTAAGGGGGTGGGAGGAAATCAGCTTATAGAATGCAACTGTATGTAATTCTCTGGCTTATGCATGGGCAAAATAAGTTGGTGCAGTATAAATAAATAACGTGGGCAGTCAGTGGTAACAGTTAGCCATTTGAGTTTCTGCCTCTGTCCTTTTCATAACGTTGTTTGTCTTCCATGAGATTCATCTGCCAACCTTTTCTTAGGTAAATGAGCAGGACGATTGCTACGCCTTCACTAAGGCAGTTCTGGTAGAAAATGCATGACAGTTCCCAAGATGAATTACCCACTATCTTCCCTCCTCTTCTGGAGATTGCCTGCAGCTTCCGAAAATCTACTGAACATTTAACAGTGTTTAACTGCAATAGTGCCATTACCTTATTCCACCAGTGATGGTACCACAGTGCAGCAAGAAATAGACCATTTAGCCTAAGGGGTCTTTACTGATGTGTATATTCTACATAAAGCCTCTTCACTGAACCCACCCACATAATCTTTGAGTACTTTCTCAATCATGCACTTGTCCAGCTTCTCCCTAAATATATCTGTGCATTTTACCTCAAATACCTCCTGTGATACTGAGTTCCATACTGTATTCCTTCTCTACGTAGAGAGGCTTCTCCTGAATTCTCAAACTGATTTATTAGGGACTTCCTGACATTTATGCGCCCCTGCCCTCGTCAGGAACAATTAAGCTGCTCTGAAGAAGAATGCTTACCGCTGCTCTTTCAGCTTCCCTCTCTCGTTCCCGTTCTCGTTCTCTCTCCTTTTCTTTTTCCTTTTCTTTCTCTTTCTCTTCTCTGGCCTTTTGCTCAGCTTCCCGCCTAGCCTTTTCTATTACTTCTTCCCGTTTCTTGGCCAGTTTTGATCCTTGCAGTGGCACAAAGTACAAGTCTGATCGTGCACAGGAATTGTAACCACGATCCAAATGTTTGATGAACCTAAAACAAAACACAAATGACAGAAAAATTGAAGCATCTTTAAAACAAAACTATGGAGTCCTTTTCACTTATTCTATTCTGCAGTATGCAAAGAGTAGATTTTCAATGGGAAAAGTTTTACAGCAACAATTACAGTATTCAGAATAATTAAGTGAAATTAAAAATACTCATTGTGTTTAACTTTAAAATCTAACAGTATTATAGAATGCAATAAAAATACCTGGCTGACTGACTGGCATGGCTTGGTGCACTAACAATTGTTGGTTCTGGAGATGGACTCCTGTTTGGAGATGGAGGAGGACTGTCTGGATCCTCTGGTTCATCCTGTATTTCCTCTTTAATCTGAATGCTCGTCACTGTGGCAGGTGGAGTATTTGTGATGTTCCCAGCAGAACACATAGATGTAACAACGGAAGCTGTAGGCTGAATGGTAGAGATGGGCGCAACACTTGATGTGGCAGATGCTGATGAAGAGGCGATGGTAGGAGCCCCTGATGGGATGAAAGGATGCTGGGCGTATGGTGGCTGAGAAGGAACAGGGTGCGATATTGCTTGAGGATGAGTTGCAGTCGCTGGAAGGCTCTGAGCTTGGGTTAATACTGGGGGTTGAGCTGAAGGAGGCTGAATCTGTTGAGTTTGAGGCATTAACTGCAATGGAGGTGGATGAACAGAAGGAGTGTGATGGGTGGAAAGGGAGCTCAATGGTTTTAAAGCTGGAGGGGGTGGTAAATTTGAAGGCATTTGTGGGAAGGGAGGTGGTCCTGCAAGGTGAGTTGGTGGTTTATGTGACTGTGGGTTAGAAACAGGAGTAATTGGTGTTGTGGGGGGTGGCTTAATATGAGGCATGGTCACAGGTGCAGGTGGCAAAGGCTGCTCTCTTGGAGGCTGTGACTGCGGTTGTACTTGGGGAGGTGGTGGAGGCTGTGCTTGGACTTGTGTAGAAGTATGTTGCTGAGAGTGTGTTGTAGTTGGCCCCTGGGCAGAAGCCTGCTGTATCTGGGGCTGTGGAGGCTGAGGATTGATTGAGAATGGCGGACCTTGGAGTTGATGCTGTATCAGAGACTGAGCTTGCAGTGAATGAGGCAATGGTTGCACCTGAGTGTGAAGCTGAGGCTGTGTCTGGGGAAGAGGTTGTGACTGAGGTTGCAACTGCTGCTGAATTGGAGGATGTGGTGATGTTAGTCTCTGGGGATGAAGCTGTGGTGTAGGCTGCATAAGTGAATGAGGAGGTGTCTGACTTCGAGGCTGTGAAACAGGAGACAATTGCTGAGAAACTGATACAGCGCAGGATGATGCTGGAGGGGGCATTTGTGGTGGTTCCAGTTGTGCTAACGGCAAAGAGGCACATGGATTCTGATGTACAGGAGGCTGAGACTGTAATACTTGTTGCTGTGCAGAGGAATCGGAATCACTCTCATTGTCCCTTGGGCTCGGTATACTTGGTGACGTGCTGCGATTGTCCTGATCAATATCCTTTGGATCACTGCTTCCTTCATCATTAACACTGCGGCTGTCAGAACTCTCTCCTTCAGATGGTGAATTTGGTCTACTGATTTCCTGTTACAAATAAAAAGACGAGTTATTAAATAATGTTTAGTGAATCTAACTTTATGACCATTACACTTAAGCATAATTTTGACCAACTTTTATCTGACAAAGAATTGAAAATGATCAGTGTCCAATTAGGTACTAATTTCAAATCGTAAAGCAGGGCTTGGTGTCACAGTGCAGTTGTTAAATGACCCAACATTTAATTAATTTTCCCAGTTTTGACTACATCACCAGTATATATTCCATCACGATGGTGAGCTGACACTGCCCACTTTATAGAAACAGACGTTAAATCAGGTTTGATATTAGACGCCATGATATACAACTCCCAATTTCATAACTACAGATCCATAGATGAAACAGCAAACAGGAAGTTCAAAAATTGGAATAAACCACCAATCAATCCAGCCGCATGTTTGTCGTCTTAAAAACAAGCATTTTTGACAATGTTTCTCTCTCCACAGATGCTGCCTACCCTGCTGAGCATTTCTAGCATTTTCTGTTTTTATTTCAGATTTCTAACATTTGCAATATTTGGCTTTTCTATGTATGATTCAGTATTATTCTGGTCCTGTTTTGGTGATTTAAGTATAACGAGGAGTGGGATTTCATGAAAATAAATTTTAAGTATTCCTTTTCTGGATAGAGATGGAAACCTTCCTTCTTGAAGCTCGTTGTCAAATATAGCTGTTCAAAAATGCAAAATTAGAAAGTCACAAAATCTTGTTCACTAACTGTAAAACCAAACTAGTGCCCGTTAATAATGAAGCTTTAAAACATCATTAGTGGCATCAAAGATAGAGGCTCTAGCCCTTTGGTATTGTAACTAGCAACTGCTGCTTCTCCAACAGGAGTTTTGTGGAAACAATTTTGAAACGGTGTTTCAGACTGATCATCATCATTTGCACCATTAAGAACTCAAAAGTTAGCTGTGTTAAATTTACTGCCTAGATTATAGGAAGAAAACAAAAATTTGCAAGCAGAAAACTGTGATCATATTTGCATTTGAATATTAATACCGACATTTTCAATAGAGGTTAAAATTTCAATTTGGGAGTTATATTCAAAAATATCTTTTTTATTAACATAATAGCTACATTTTAATCCACTTGTCACTGTACATAAGTCGTCGCAGCAAGTCTAATTAACCCAGATTTATTTTATAAGGCCCATGTTTTAATGCAAAAATGTTGCAGATGGTGGGCCTTTTCTTTCCATTAAACAATTCTGAAGCATTTCCATTTACCACAAGCTTCTGCTGCCGAATCTCACTTTCTGTTCACCTGCAGTCTCGGGTCTTCACCCAAGTCTCTAGATTGAAATAATTTTTTTTTTTTTTTTTAAATAAAATATCTAAGGAATACACAATTTAAAGTTTGGAACGTAACAAACAGCAAGTTTATGTGGAAAATTAAAGTAGCATTTATAATGATGTCTAGACTCAACATGACAGATAAAAAGGAAAAAGGTTAAAGCTCAATTTTAGAAGAATGTCTTAGAACACTATTCTTGGATTTCAGTTAAATACTTTTACAACAATGCTCATCAGAGATGCTCAAGGTTATCCTGATCAATTTCAACATTTCAAATCTCTGTACAGCATTTTTCTTTGCTGACTGGAAACACAAGTACAGTTTATGTTCAAAGTTGTATTGCAGAATCCATTACGAGATAAACCTACAATTTTTCCTAACTTGAACAACAGATTGCGGTATGGCTTCATTTTTGATGTGGCTTCCTTCCTTTCTCTTGAATCAATTTAGTTATTTAGAAAATGCACACACTGTTGCAGATTCACCTCACACTTCATAACATGTTTTAGAAAATTAGCAACATTAATTCTAGAATTTAAAACAAATTATATCACTTATTATGAACTAACTACGTGAACTGACTCCCACACAGTTTATTCCATAGTAATAATACCATGTTACTGGAGCAATTACAACAAAGTCTCATGCTACAACAAAATACAAATTATTACAAGACAGTGCACAGTTTGCTGACATTCACAGCATTATCATTGACAATTCTGAATGTCAGAACCCTGCCACTTTTCCCCTGCTAACAAATCTAATTAACACATTCAATTTTGTTTTTAATAGTACTCATTCAGGTCACAACTACTGAGAGGAGTGGAAATGGGATTAAACAATCTGAATTATGCAACTTGCAGAAATTGTTACACCCCCTTCAAGTATATTATTGAACAGTATAAAAACCAAAAGAACATCATTCTTGAATTTTGACAGCTGGAACTAATGATGTGTTCAAATCAATAATGTAATAATTGGTGGGCCTTGTTAAAACATGCCAAAATGAAGCCAAGAGGAAGACCTTGTGGTCTCTTGTAGTTTGCTGGCAGTTTAAAATACAATCTGCTATTTATAAATGTGGCTAATATTATAAATATTTGACTGCGCACTTTGCCCAGTTTACCTACACCTTGTGGGAACTCCATCTTGAATCCTAAGGATCATTGTGTCTTTGGTTGTGACAGAGGATTAGATTACAGTAGAGAAGTTCAAAAGGTTGCATTTTAGTGAATTTAGCTTCCAGCAGTATTCCTCATGAAATATGAAGAACTATATGCATTCATCTCTCAATTGTCATTTTGTTTAAAAGGAGCTTTTTATCAAGTCTGAAGTAACATACCCAAGTTTTATCAAATTCAATACAGAATATTGTGAGACTGCCTTTGTACAGTTAAAAGCAAATGTTTTCTTCTCTGTTATGTATAGATATGTATTGTTTGTCCAAGCTGAGCTCATTTCTTTTCACCTTACCTTTTCATGTTTTTGTTGAATTTGTTTGAAAATTCAAAACTAAGTGAAGTTTTGATCTACACAAGCCAGAAGGATCCTAGGGTCTGTGCATAGTTTAGTGAGGTGATAATGTTGCAACAATTAGATTCAGCAATTCTACTTCGGAATAGATCTACTTAGCTCTCTCATTTCTGGAAGGTGCCACTTTCAGGTGTCAGAATTAACTGCGCTTAAACAGGTATGTTAACTACAATTGGACAGTGTGCCTGGGTTGATGCCCCAAATTAGGAGTCAAGTGTACATTTAAGAATTATTTGATTTTAGTCTACAATATAACGGCAGTACATGATTGTGGGTGCATGAATAAAATTACAGTTTTGATTTTGACTGGTTGGAGAACATCAGTGAAAAAGGATGTCAGATTGACAACACAATGTTGACTCGTTCAGTAGTTTTGAGTAAGAACTGGTCCAGTTTTCTGATTCTGTCAGAGGTTACATTACACTCGAGGCAGCTGAGTCATGGTCAATGTGGATTCAGGCTAGTTTGCATCCCTTGGGAAAACAATAGAAGAAGATAAATTTCTAGGCATTTTTCAGTTGAGGTATTTGGTTTTGGGTTGTTTTTCCCCTTTCTCTGACAACCACACGGCATGTAGGTTGTAGGAGGTCTCCTGAGTTGATGGATGGGACAACACAACCTTGTGTTGTCTAAGTTACATGTCCACTGTTTGCATTCAAAAATGTTACCACTGACTTCTAGGGCCATGTAAAAAGTGGTGCACTGCATGTTTAGTAATAATGTAAAGTCAAACACAAATGAATTACATAATGAAATTTGAGTAACTGATGATCATGGGACCAAGTATACATGCCTGTGTTTTGGACTTCTTTGCATTTAGTCTTTCTGATTCTTCTGTATCAGAAGCAGCCTTTTCTCTTTGGCGTTTGGCACTCTTTGATGGCGATGATACATCATCCTTTGATCTCTGTGATGTAAAAACATGGAGAACAATATGAGCACAAGAACAACAAAACCATTACTCCAGTTAACCCAAGTTAATAACTGATGTAAAAAAGAATTTTCAAAACAAAGAACTTCAAGTAAAAACAATAATCTTTGTTTTAACTTAAGGCATAAAGTCAATGTGCCTAAGGTGAGCAAGAAGCCTGGGCCATTCCTTGCCTGAACCTGACAGGAATCACTACCTTGGTGGTGGACAGAAGCAGGATTTCATGTCATCAGGATGCTTCATGGGGAATGCATGATGATGTCCTTTGACATCAAGTTGGGGTGGTTCGGGGGAAGGGGACCTATTTTTTATGGCCTGGAGGAATACTCCTGTCCCACAAAGAAATCACTACAATTTCAAAAAAGGTTTTCTGTTGGGCCTCTTCTGGTCAGTTGTCAGTTTTCTCTGCTGGGTCCAACATTCGCAAGATTTGCCAAGTGCACGTTAAATTCACACCAGTGTCCTATCTGAATTTCAGGAGTGCAACTTTGCAGACTGCCAAGGCTACTGAGTTAAAGTGGCTACAGGTGGGAGTAAGGTGTGAATGAGAACTAAGAGGACCTAACTTTAAAGGTCTGCACATCTCATTCTACAGTAAATTGCATTTTCACCAAAGCATATGTCAAAGGCAGAGCACCACCAACTGGAACACGTATTACAGGTACAATTCCAAAATGTCTACTTCCCACAATTCTGCAAGAATAATGATAACATACATAAAATATCAGTTATTTCATTGGTTGATTAATCTTCATAGCTGAACGGCTTCTTTCCCACAAAAATATTAAATCGGGATTAATTTTATGATTAATTCAGAATAAAGGACATCAATCAAGATTTTTTTCAACTAGGAAACAGATCCATGGCAAATGAAATATAATCACTGCTCTATAACCAAATTTGTTGAATATTATTCACTGTGTGTAATTAGCATTTACAACATAACCTGAATCTACTAAACTTCAAAATGAGACTGGAATTTGTTGAATTTTCAAAATATGGCCTATAAAAAATTATTTAAGGAAAAAAAACTTATTTTCTGATGCGCCAGATCCACAGCCTGCTCTCCACAACTCTAAAATGGTCTCTTCTCAGATTCACAGAATTGTTATGGCACAGGAGGCCATTCAGCTCATCATGCCTGCACTGGCTCTTCAACCAAGCATTGTTACCTCGTGACAATCTCTTGCTTTTCCCTATACCTTTGCACACTACTTCTATCTAAGTATTCAATGCCCTCTTGAATGCTTCAACTGAACCTACCGCCACCACATTTCCAGGCAGTTGTGACAATGTAGTTTGTAACTGCTTTCACTACAATGATTATCAGAACATTACCTTACTGGATTTTTTCATAGAGTCCGCTTTGCTATCATTACTGGACGTGCTGGCAGCACTGGGAGAATTACGGCCGCTGGACCTGATGTCTTCATTGATAGGTGAGGTTCTACCGTCAGGGCTGGCTGTCTGCTTTTTACGACCACTGCGCAGTGAAGACATCTAATTGACAATAAAATCATTATTAGACTCACAGGGATTGGTGTGATTAATAATGCATAGCACTTTTATAACAGTGTTAGCTTCCAATTAATATTCTCCAGTTAATTACTGGTTAACATTGGTGGTTGAGATTCCATTTGTAATCTTTTTACTTCTAATAAGAGAAGCTGTAAACTAACTGAAGGTGCAGGTTTCCTTTTTGTGTGTTCAAAGGAATTACACAATTATTTTGCTAAGACCAGCTCATATAATTTGAACGCTTTGTTTAATCCTACTGTAAATGCTGTAATCACTCATCTTTTTTAGCCTGATTCACTGTCATTTTTTTCAAACCCTGTGCCCAGGCACTTTTAACAGGAGTACTCTGCAGATTAAAATCCAAGTGTTTTTGAAGTCCAGCATATTGCTGTATGTTCTTCTAATTTCCAGCATCTTATTACCCGAGTGTAGGACAGGAGATTTTTTTGTTGCAAAATAGACTTTTATTACTTTATTAGCCTTCTATTGATGTTCATATTGAATGACAATGGCTTCCTATAAATTTGAAATACAGAATACCCCAGAGAAAACATTTCATTTATGCTACGTGGATAAAATAACAACATTAAATCATAACTGCTTGATGTCATCCAGGCTGCATGATCTAAATATTTTTATGAGAAATGATGTTTGTAGCTATGTGCCATACTGCATCACAGGTCTGTATTTGAAAAGGCAACAAATTAAAAGTACATGCTTGTCCTAAAGTGTATCGGAGGATTTCAAAGAACATTGCCAAACTACTCACTACATCTGCATCACAATGATTCTCTATAAATTTAGTCTTTTATAAATGCAAAAAATATGAAAGAAAAAAGTAATGACTTTCATACCGAGCCCCTGCTCCTTCTGGTCCTCATGCTATGTTTGCCGCTGAGCCCATCTTCTTCTTCTTTGACTGGTTTAAACATAAATGGTGGTGGATCCACTGGTTTATCGATAGGTGGCAATTCCGCGTACTTCTTGAAGTGAATCCGACACTCTGTACACAATAATATATTGTCTCTTCCTCCGTGGTGCCAGTCTTTGGATGCTGATGTTTTTAAACAAAAAAAAAGCATATTTTCTACCACCCTTCTAAATATAAACAGTATGTTTCTGGACATTTTGCACTACAGTTTCTCAATTTCATTATACACCGTAAAATATTCACATCAAGACTAGTGAGAAAGCTGTACAAGTTGGATGAACTCTGATCGCATCTTAACAATGGAGCGCATGGAAGCTAACATGCAGGACCATGAAATAATTCTCCCTGCTCACCTTGCCTGCAGCTTAAATTTATTGTTCATTATCACAGCAATGTCGTCCTAGGTGGCACAGAGTGGTGGCCAACAAAGATGAAGGAAAATCGGAATAGAATTTTTGTTCCTCTTCTATTATTACATACCACTTATTGGTTGAACAGAGTGCTATTAATTCCAATTATTTTTCATTCATTCAGGAGATTTGGGCTTTGCAATAATTGCCCTCGAAGTGTGGTGGTGAGCTGCCTTCTTGAACTGGCACAGTCTATTTAGGTAGACCCATAATGCTGTTAGTGAGGATGTTTCAGGATTTTAATCCAGCAAAAGAATAATGACCAAGTCAGGATGGTGCATTTCTTGAAGGGTCAATTGCAGATGTGGCGTTCTACGCAACTGCTTCCCCTGTCCTTCCAGATAGCAGTGGTATTGGGTTGGGAAGGTGCTTTCATACAGCTTTGGTAAATTTCTGCAGTGCATCTCATAACTAGCGTACACTGCTGCTACTGAGTGTTAGTGATGGTGGGAGTTAACGTTTGTGAATGTGGTATCACATTGGCTTTGTTCCGAGTGGTGTCAAGGTTCTTGAGTGTTGCTGGAGCTGTCAAGGCAAATAGGGAATATTTTATCACATCTTGACTTGTGCCCTGCAAATGGTGAACAGGCCACAGGAAGGTGAAGTATTTGGGGCAGGTTTCCCAGCTTCTGACTCATTCATGTAGCAATTTAGCAGTATTTATTTGTCGTGTCCAATTCAGCTTCTGGTCAGTGGTAAGCGGAGGATACTGATAATTAGGGATTCAGCAATGCTAACGCTATCAAATATATTGAATGTCAAGAAACAATGGTTGGTTTTTTTTCTTGTTGGAGATGGTCATTGGTTGCACTATGGTGTGGATACTACTTGCCACTCAAGTCTGGACTTGATCCACATCTTGCTGCATTTGTTCATTATTTGCTGCTTTATTATTTGAGGAGCTGCAAATTGTGCTGAATACTGTGCAATCATCAGTGAACATTCCCACTTTTGATCTAGTGATGGGAGAAAGTCATTGATGAAGCAGCTGAAGATGCTGGGTCTCAGTCATAACATTGAAGAACTCCTGCAGAAATGTCCTGAAACTGAGATAACTGACCTCCAACAACCAAATTACTTATGTAACTTCTCAACATATAGAATTCAAGGAGTGAGAGAAAATTAAGGCTTTTAATTTTCTCCAAACGCAAATTAACTGCATTAGGTGTTCCGTTCCAAGACATAATTCTACAATAGCTACAAAATGAAGGGTTTGAAGGAAACAAAAATAAACTGGCCAGAGTGTAGAACAGTAACAGAGGAATGTAACTACCTAATACCTCCATTTGCATGCTCATAATTCAAAAAAAAATTGTACTCTGCTGCCTGGACAGCACTCATTAAGCAGCCGCTAGTCAAAGTGATATTATTATAACGTATGTTTCCATAATACTGGCAACAAGAGAACCTGTTTAAGGTTGTCACTGAGTACTGCGTCAACATTGAGGGCAAGGAAGAGAGAAGGAATAACAGGGATGTCTTCTAAGCAAATCAATCATGCCAACAACATTATGAATTGGATACCTGTGTACAAGATCTCCTTCACTCAATTCAGACTTTGGTGCAGTTGTGCCAGTATTTACATAACAAAACTAAGGGCGCACCAGATTTTAAATAAGTTTAGTAAATACACATTTAAATAAAACCTAGAGGTGTCCTCTGGTTCAGCACCTACTAATGTTTAAATGCACATATATTGTCACTTAAAATTAAAAGTACTGTAACTGAACTAGTCTCTCATTACTTCTCACAGCAGGAATAATGAAAAAAAAACATACTAGTGGTGAAACAATGGCGACAGGCGTAGCCCTTCAGCTCCTGTTCACTATCTTCACTATCAAAGTCATCCTCGCTGGCGGAACTGAGATCCACTACGAAAAGAAATGACAAAAATGAACATTTTGCTGTAAAAGCTTATGGCTAATGTTTGCAGACAATACACTTCATTGCTTGGGTTGACATCAAGGCGTATTCATACCTTCACAACTTTCTAAAATGCATAGCTGGTATTTCGAGCAATGCGGGGGGACTTGCAACTAGATTGTAGTATTTTAATTTTTTAAAAGAATTTTTTTAATCCTTTATCAATGTTGCACTTTCGCTCATTTATGCAAAATATATTTCTGTACATTGGGAGTTGTTTTCAAATTGTTAGTTTTATTTTCAATGTAGGAATTACAACTGCTAATTGGTACTTTACATTCTTCCACAAAATAGTTGTGTATTGTATTCCTTCTGCTGAGGCCTTCTCAATGTAGAATATTCTTTATATTTCCAAGACAGGTCTCGAGAAGAGTGAAAATATGAAAAAGAATACTGTGAAATGAAAACCACCAACAGCGTCATTCGATAATGGAATGCCTAGTGTTTTATCAAGCTTCACTGAATGCAGTCAAAACTGCTTTGTATTATCCTTTCCAACAGAAAATGTTATCTTTTGTGTTGCAAGCTCATGGTCACAAAGTACAGAGCCTTGAGCTAACCATTTTACTAGTTAATGCATCAGTGCTGGACTCAGAAGTTCTGCCAACTGAGAGCAGTGCGGACTTAAAGGAAGTTCTTCAGTATCCTGTAAACAACTGGAAATTGCCATTGTGAACAAGTAGTGCAAAAAATATTTAAGTGGAATAGGCTGCACTACAACAGCTTGTACTTCAGCTACCCTCTTCCCCAAGGTCTATTATGTAGGAGGACAAGAGTAGGAATGTGGTGAGAACATCACTACCAAGCTCCTTGCCAAGTCACACATCATCCTAAGTTGCACATACTGTTGCTCGTGCATTATCACTAGGTTAGCAATCTGCAATGCCTTAACTAGCAGCATTGTGGAAGCACCATCACAACTGGTTTTTAATGGTTCCATGTAGTCCACCAACACCTTTCAGACAACCTGAATGGCAATATATATAGCGTTGTCAGAATCGTCCGCATCAAAACAACTAACTACGAAAAAATTGCAACCCTGAATAGGAATTGTAGTTTTATCTTAAGCAAATATAAATTCAGGAACATGATTTATATTTAATAAAAGTTCAGTCCTTTTATTTCTGGTCACGGAGCTGGATTAAATTTTTAGTTTCTTTAAAATATCTTGAATATTTTTAAATGTTCATGGGATGTGGGCATCACTGGCTGGGCTACGTTTATTGCCGATTTCTAGTTGCCCTGGAGAAAGTGGTAGTGACCTGCCTCTTCTTGAACTGTTCAGCGCTTGGAATGTAGGAACACACAGAATGCTGTTCAGAGCGGGGATTCCAGGATTTTGACTAAGTGACTATGAAGAATAGCGATATTACTCCAAGTTGGGATGGCTTGCGACTTGAAGTGGTACTTGTAGATGTTCTCATGCATCTGCTGTTTTTGACCTTCTGGACAGTGGAGGTCATTGATTTGGAAGGTGCTCTCGAAGTAGCCCTAGTGAGTTTCTGCAGTGCGCCTTGCAGATGGTATGCACTGCTGCCATTGTGCAATTGTAGTGAAGGGAGTGAATGTTGAAGGTGGTGGATGGGGTGCCAATCAAGAGGGCTGCACTGCTCTGGGTAGTGTCAAGCTTCTGTAAAGTTATTGGAGCTGAACGTGTCCAGTTAAGTGAAGTATATTCCATCATACTCCTGACTTGTAGGTAGCAAGAAGTGAAAGTGCTGGAATCAGAGACAACCTGGTGTGGAGCTGGAGGAACACAGCAGGCCAGGCAGCATCAGAGGGGCAGGAAAGTTGACGTTTTGGATTGGAACCCTTCTTCAGAAATGGGGAGGGAGCGAGAGAGGGAGGGAGCGAGAGAGAGAGAGAGCGAGCGCGAGAGAGAACGAGCGCGAGAAGGGGTGGGGCTGGGGAATGTAGGTAGGATGGTGATAGGTGAATGCAGCTAGGGAGTAGTGGGGATTGGTCAGTGAGGTGGGTACAGCGGATAAATTCTCTCCCACCTATCCGCCCGACTTGTACCTTGTAAATGGTGAACCGGGAGTGGGGAGCCAGGAAGTGATTCGCTCACACACAATTTCTAGTCTCCGGCCTGGTCCTGTAGCCACTGTACTCGTATGGCTAGTCCAATTCAGTTTTTGGCTAATGGTAATTCCCAAGATATTGACAGTGGGGAGTTCAGCAATGTTAATGCCATTGAATGTCAAGAGACGATGGTTAGATTCTCTCCTTTTGGTGATGGGTCATTGCTTGGCATGAATATTACTTGCCACGTTTCAGCCACGCCTGGGTTTTGACCAAGTCTTGCTGCATACGGACAGAAACGGCTTCGGTATTTGAGGAGTCATTAATGGTCCTCAACATTCTGTAATCATCAGCAATCATCCCCACTTCTAACCCCATGAGGAAGGGAAGGTCACTGATGAAGCAGCTGAAAATGGTTGGGCTCAGGACACTACTCTTAGCAACTCCTGCTCAGAATCTCAATTCTCAAATACTTGATAAAGCTTTTCCAGCAACTTCTGCTTTTGTCTCAAATACTTGATCTTCATTTATTGAGTTGTGCAAAATTCTATCTAAACTAAACAGAAGTGATGGCTTTGCTATGGCTCGATGTCAAATCGACTTCATTCTAAAGAAACAGCCATCATAATGTGCCAGGATTTAACCTGGAACATCCAGGTCAATGCTGCCATTTGAGCACAGCTCACCAAACAACCAGGAAGTAACGGCCCCTCAAAATAAGCAGTCTAGCTCCTTTGGAATTCAGACTGCTGTACCAACAGCATACACAACGTTTATAACACTGTGCAAATGCCCACATTGATGCAGTGCTGAATTTCAGAGTAAAGCTATTGCATAAAATCTAACACCAGGAGAGCTATTTAGCCTATAGCAGGCACTCTCAAATAGAGAATAGGAAGGAAACTTTAGAATCATCTTCTGTTATATTTAGTCTCCTCCCACAAATTTATAAATACAAAACTGATGCAAGGAACTAAGCCCCATTACTGGCAAAGGGGCAGTATTAAATCGTGACTTTCCTTTTTCCAACATCGCCCTCATGACTCTAATGCCAACAATATTTAATCAAGTCCATTAAAGCAGTTATTAATGTAATTTTAGAACTGAACGCAACAGCTTACAAGAGTGAGTTTTGCCGTGATTGCGACTATTTCTGTGGTTCAGCACATTACACCAATGAACAAGTGCAGAACAAATACATTTGTCACTTTTGGTATAAATAGCATTATTACCATTCACTGAAAAATCATGGAAGCTGTTTGAAAATTTAATTTTCACTGCTTTTAATAAGTATTAAGCTCTGCAAGACAAATCCAGTCTTTATGCCCATGAATACTAAGAATTACAAATTTATTTCTAGAATTTGAAATACAAGTGTGATATTTAGGTCTGTTTCATACCAATGAATATTCAGAGGTAAGAACTTAATGAGCTGACTGGTGTTCAACTATTGAGAACTTAAACAACTGTTGTGGTTTAAGTTTCTGCCACTGCACTGCTTGTAATTTAAAGATTTTGTTTCACTTTAAAGACACTGGCTATTTTCATCCATCAAAGCTTTCCCAGTTCATAGTTGTATCGATTCAGAATCTACTATACTAATGAGAAATCAGTCTAAAACAACTGGTTGTAACGGTTTGGATAATCAGTTAAATGTCTAAATTATGTAGCCCCTTGTGTTATTCTCGATTCAAAATTCTAACTGACAATCAACATGACCACAACTTACAGAATTCACCAGATGGCGGCCGAGATGGATTCACTGGGGTTGTTGCAGTGCGTGTCTTAATTCTTCTAAATACCGCCTGCCTGCGATGTCTTCGATGAGCACGAGAGCTAGCTGCTTCAGGAGTCTTTTTCCAATAGTAATAAAATGTCACCAGTTCACCCTGCAATCGAAGAGAGTACTGGTTCACATCATCATGTGGACAGAAGAGCCATCCTAGATTCCAAACTTCTACCTCTTTCTACCAACATTACTAATGGATACAAATGTAAGGAAACATTTTTATAGCAGGCTTTTTGACACTTACTGGCTTCCACTGTGATAACACTTATTGTCAAATAGCCAGTTGAGCCTCAAGATGGACAAGTAGCCACCTTCCCAAGAACCCTTCAAATACTCCCCAATAAGTGATCCTCCTCAGTAGAAGTTGAAAATTAGGTATGAAGAAAATGTTTTAACTGCAGTAACCAGCATTTTTAATCATTTATATTCAATGTAGTAATCATAAATGCTGCACGGAAAAATCTCTTCACGATTAGGTAAGCTTTTCCATTAGTGTGGTTTATGAGAATAATGCTCAAAAAATACTCATATTATCCCAGGCATTGAATATTAAGTATTTTCTGCTTCAATTTCCTTTGAAAGCATTAAATAGATGCAACACTAAATACAGAATGTGGGGTGGAGTTTCAGAATGAATGTTTCCTTTAACCCATTTGGTCATCTAAAACCTGTCGTTTCTGTCATACACCATCATCATCTAGGCAACAGTGGCCTTCTCTCAACATCTGTCATGATGTGGGGCCAGAAATACAGATTTTGTTTTTCTCATCCAAAAGGTACAATGAAATTTGAGGTACTTGAGGCTTTAACTGAGAATTTATTCAAGTATTGTGGTCTGGGTGCTCGAGACACAGAAACACTAAGTGGCTCTTGCTCTGCTCAGTCGATACAAAATTTGGGAGTAGGGAATTTAAAAGAATTGAACAACCCCAAATATCATATGCAGGTGGCAATAGCACCCGTTTCAGGTGGGGACCCTGGACATTTAGACGTTGTCAGCTGTCACACTAGAAAATCCCAGGGCAGACTTGATAAGGAAATGATCCCTGCAATGTTCACATTTTATCCAAACATGGGACTAATTTTGTCCCCCGAGCAGTTTCAAAACATAGGAAAGTTCCTATGTCTCTTCTTCTGCCTTCAAAGAGGGAAAGAAATGAATTAAGAACAGTGATGCCATACAGGTGATAATTCCTGATATTTAACTCCCGCGATAGCCATGGAACGGAATATCCTGTGCTGCGTACAATGGCAGCTGATCCAAGTTCATCCACTTTGCACTACCTCCCAAAGCAAATTTCTAATTCACTGACCGTTTCTAGAGCATGTTTGCTTAGAACACTATCAAGTGTAAGTGGCTTTGCAACCAAACTTTGCACATTAAACACTCGTACCGTAGTCCCAGATGGTGATATGGTTTTGGCTTCTGACTTAATATTATCTCAATCAGTATAAAAATCTTTGTTCCCTCCTCAAGGTTCTGACTGAGCTGATATTTTAGTAAATTAACACATAATCCCAGCACCTTTTGTTCAGTGAATGAGAATTCAGATCACAGAAGAAAAGGTAGAAAGTGGATTTGAAAATCCAGTCCAGATTTCATTAGCTATCCTGCTTTGCATCACTGTTCAGGGATTAAGAGTCCATGTAGGTTGAAGTGCAGTGAATCAAATGGATTAGGAACCACACACTGGTAACTGTACGGGCGGCAGTGTTCATGCGTAAACAAAAGAACATGTCGGTCTGGCTGTAAAAAGGAACAAATGGGAGCAAAATGGTTCCTAGATTCGACGTGTACAGAGTCAATTGAACATTAATCAAAACATTCTCCGGATCTACAATGACCAAAAAAGCTACCGTGAAAATAAATACTTTGCTGAAACTTGAGCACAAGCAAATCATTGATCAAAGATGCTTTACTAAGTAGAAGCGAGGCAAATTAGCTGCTGGTTTTCACTGTACAAGCTAATAAGCATAAATGTTATTGGCAAGAACAGCTTGTAATGAGTACCAAGTTTCCGACGCTATGTAGCTCAGTACACCATTATCCCTATTGTCAACTTGGTTTCCTCTCATAACTTCTGGTCACTTGTTTCAACGTGGACAACAACAGCTATTATTAACTCAACAAAATGTTAACTACCTCATGTGAGAGCATATATTTGCTTTGCACCCAATCGTTATCAGTCCATGAGACATCCAATACACAGTACAAGCAGCAGTGCACTTTATACCGTGCCAGGTTTTTATTGCCTTGGGTAAACAAAGGTTTAACACCATGCGGGGGTCGATATAATTTACAACCAAAAACAGTTGTGGCACAAATTACGCCTGTTACATGCATCATAGCTCACTGCGAAAATACAGAACCAATGTAAATTGATATTAATCCAAAGAAAACCAATATGCATTACCAGTACGACATTTTGGGTTTACAGCCTTAATTGAACACACTGATAATTGTCCTAAAGTTGTGACATAATCTTATTCCGCTTATTTTTATTTTAGTTGGCTTTCAAGTGACAAGTCATTATACACTGTTAAGAAACTATATGCTGTACACAATGTGCATTTATGTGCATAACAGCTATACCATTTTGGATATACAGCCAATAATTACTGCTTCTATAGCTACTTTCTGCATTTCACTGATTCTGATGGTTGTGCTAATGTTGATTCAGCAAGGCAGTCTTATATAAATTGGTTAGTTTTTTTTTCTCAACCTTGTTGTTCTCTTCAGCCCTCCTCCATCCAGTCACTTGTCTTACCAGTAGTTCTTGTACTTTTGTGTTTATACTTATTTAAGGAGCTTTTACATTGTGCTTAATGGTGTATGCAAAAGGGCAGGATCAGAGACCAAATCTGGGAAGACCA